CAGAACCGTGTCTCGGATTCCAAGATTCTGAGACGAGGCCAGAGTGATGCGTACCTGGCCCTCCATTGGCCCTCACCCAGCACCAAGGAGACCGGGTGTTTCTCGAGACCTTTAGGCAGCCTCGGTGGGGAGAAGGGCAATACTGCAAAGCGCCTACCGGAGCCCAGACACCTACGTGCCGAGTTCCTCAAGGCCGCGAACCGGCTTCGACCTCTTTCTGAATCCACCCCGACACCTGACCCCTGGCACCCCGACAGATGGGATGCGACTTGATGAGTGCTCCCCTAGCTCAACCAGGTTTCACAGGTTCCCACAGTACCTTCTCCGCTCCGCATCCTGAGGGTCTGTGCCGGGGAGGCTGATGGTGATGGAGGACGGGGCCCCCACATCGTAGCGCTTCACTGTCTTCTGGCAGATCTTCACCTTCACCAGGAGGCTGTGCACCAAGTTCGCCAACAGCCCCACCACAGGCTGCAGGATCTCCGGGAAGAAGGTGGCGAAAGCAAAGTGGTCGGCCATGTCCCCTCGGCCTCGGCTGTGGCGCTGGTAGAAGCGGAGGTACACCCAGCCGGAGAGCAGCCCGAAGCCGTAGGAGGCCAGCGCGGGGCTCTGGAGCAGCGCGGCCAGCCGCAGGAGCAGCAGCAGCGCCAGCAGCAGCATGGGCACCACGCTGACGCGCACCTGGGGCACCCGCAGGACCACACAGTCCCCCATGGTTTGCTTCAGCGCCACCAGGACGCCGCCCAGGAAGCCCAGGGCGCCGTGGATGCGGATGGTGAAAAGGTACACCAGGTTGAAGGAAGCCATGTAGGTGAGGAGGTAGGCGAAGGCCCCCAGCAGCCCCACGGACACGTTCACCACGGAGAAGAAGATGAGCAGCTCCAAGGCCCCCCAGAGGGGCTCGAGCAAGCGCCCGGCCACCACCACCGTGGCCAGGCTGATGGCCACATCCCACACGTGCTGTTCCATCAGCCCGTGGGTGGCCAGGGTCCAGATCCAGAAGTTGGGCGGGAAGAGGTAGCCCGGGGTGACCGCCAGGCAGCCCGTGTCCACGGCGAAGGACAGCAGGTAGAGGAACAGCACCGCGGCGCACAGGGCCTTCACCACCACGCTGGCGCTGGCCAGGACGGCCCCCAGGTGCTGGCGGGCGCCGGGCAGGGCGCGCTGCATCTTCTCGGCGGGCGTCGGCCGGAGGGGAGCGTCTAGTGGTCTAGGGGCCTCCCCGGGCCTCGTCCCACTCCGGCCCCGACGGGAGGCCCGGGCACGGCCTAGTCACTGGCCGATGGCCCCGCCCCGGTGAGGACTCCACTTCTGGTCGGGTGGACTCCGGTTCCAAAGGGCCGGGCCCGGCCTGGCTGCGGGGCGGGGCCTAGGCCCCTCGCCCGGGACCCGAGGGGAAGCCCTGGGCGGCTCCGGCCCGCCTGCCTGCCCGCCCGGTGGGCCCCGAGCCAGGCCCAGTGGCTGCCGTTGGTCTCAGGGCTGGGCCTGCTCCATCCACTCCGAGGTCCTACGGTCCGGCCCGCGCGGGACTGGAGCCTAGTTCTGGGCCCGAGTCAAGTCAGGTCAGCTCTGGCTCGGCCAGGGTCTTGCCTTCGACCGTACCTCCTCCCTTCTCAGGCGCCGACAAACAGGGGTGCTGCGCCTGCGCGCCCCGGGAGGCGGCGGGATGCCCTCTCCGCGTAGGTCTTCCGGGTCCGCGCCATGCTGGGGACGAGCGGAAGTCAGGGTTCTGGGTAGAACTACAACTCCCAGGAGGCTGTGCGCGCGGGCCGGGCAAGTCGGTGGTGAGAAGAGGGGTTGCTTGGGAAGTGTAGTTTTCAGGACCGTTTTCCACCAGTCCTCGGGAGGTGGGAGTGGGTGAAGAAGCTTCGCTAACCCTGGGAAAGCGGCGGGTACCGGCGGCACCACAACTGCATGCCACACACTTGCTGAGTCCCCCGGGAAGCGTGGCTCCTTGGCATGTACATCTGAATGGGTGTGTCTTCGTGGGTAGGTGTGTGGGTGAGAATGTTGGGTGGCCCTGGTGTACCTTCTAGTAGTGTGCGGGAACTGGGACGCCCATGGTCTGGAGTAAGCCTGACTCAGGTTGTTTGGGATGCATAGGGCCTGACCCAGGTTGGAATTCTTGCCCTGCCATTTGGCAGCTGCGTACATTGGCTAAGTTCCTGGACTTGGTTGAAACCCAGTTTCATGGAGATGTAAAACGGAGATGACAGGACATACCCTGAGGGTCCAAAGGGCCTGGAGTGTAAAATGCCAGTTCACCCTGGGAGCACAGTGAGTGCGCAGCCCAGGCTGTCCTTGTTACAAGTAAGGTGGAGCCACGACTCAAACTCTGGTTTCCTGCACCCTACACCCTTCTGATTGCTGGCCCAGAGGAAGAGAAGTCTCCCCACAAACTTGGACAAGGCTGGCCCTGGGTCCCCACTTCATTGCAATGGTGGCTTCTGGAAGGTTGTGTCCTGTGCAAGCTTATTTTTTTGTATCTTGAGTTACTTTTAAAAAATATGCATATACCCCTTGCCAGTTTGGCTCAGTGGATAGAGCGTCGGCCTGTGGACGGAAGGGTCCCAGGTTCGATTCTGGTCAAGGACACGTGCCTGGATTGTGGGCTCGGTCCAACATGCAGGAGGCAGCCGATCAATGGTTCCCTCTCATCATGGATGTTTTTCTCTCTCTCTCTCCCTCTCCCTTCCTCTCTGAAATCAAGAAAAAAAAAAATGAAATGAGATTTCTTAAAAAAAAGTGCATGTAATTAAATAATTATTTGACAAAGTACATTTATAAAGTGCAGGACCCCTTCCTTTTAGCCGCTGATGTCAGTGCTCCTGCCAGCAGGTGCATCACCTTCCAGGTTACAAAGGGTATTGACACCTTTATCTTTGTCTGAGGTCTGGGTTCTCACCGGATGTCACCCCAGGGTAAGGCTGCCAGATTTAACAAATCAAAATACAAGGTGCCCAATCAAATTTGAATCTCACCCTGACCGGTTTGGCTCAGTGGATGGAGCGCCGGCCTGCGGATTGAAGGGTCCCAGGTTCGATTCCGGTCAGGGGCATGTACCTTGGTTGTGGGCACATCGCCAGTGAGTGGTGTGCAGGAGGCAGCTGATCGATGTTTCTCTCTCATCGATGTTTCTAGCTCTGTACCCCTCTCCCTTCCTCTCTGTAAAAAGTCAATAAAATATGTTAAAAAAATTTGAATCTCAAATATATAATGAATAATTTTTTTTAGTATAAGCATGTCTCCACTAAAAAAATGTTTTTATTGATTTCAGAGAGGAAGGAGAGGGAGAGAAAGAAACATCAGTGATGAGAGAGAACCATCGATTGATCAGCTGCCTCCTACACACCCCCCATTGGGGATCAGACCCACAACCCGGATATGCGCCCCCAACTGGAATTGAACCTGGGACCCGTCAGTTCGAAGGCCGATGCTTTATCGACTGAGCCAAACCAGCCAGGGTAGCATGTCTCCATTTTTATAGTGTAGTTATGTCCTATGCAATATTGATGTACTAAAAATATTTATCTGAAATTCAAATTTGATTGAATGTTCTCTCTATATTTTTAATATATATGTTTTATTGATTTCAGAGAGGAAGGGAGAAGGAGAGGTAGAAACATCGATGATGAAAGAGAACCATCGATCGATCGATCCATCCATCAGCTGCCTCCGGCACGCCCCCTACTGGGGATCAAGCCTGCAACGTGGGTATGTGCCCTTGACTAGAATTGAACCCGGGTCCCTTCAGTCTGCAGGCCGACGCTCTGTCCACTGAGCCAAATACAAAAAATGTTCCATATTTTATCCGGCAGCCCTACCCCGGGACCTCTGGGCTGTTGCACGGCACAGGATGGGGGCTGTCTCAGAGGGTGCTAGGTAGGTGTTGCTCGGTGGCCAGCTCCTGCAGAGGAGTGAGGAAAGGTGCCTTCGCTAAGGCTTGGAATGCCCTCCTCCATTTATTTAGCATCTAAGGACCCCCAGACACAGACCAGCTCCTCTCGGAAACTTCTGCTGATTTCTTGTCCTCCTCATCTGGGCGGAAAGAATCTCTCCTAAGTTTCAGTTTGCTCATCTGCAGTATGGGGATGAACTAGTACCCAGCTCTAAGGTTGTGGTGAGGAGTCAGCCAGAAGCCACCGGTGAGCGCCCTGGATTGTCAGTCAGTAGCGCCAGGAAACCTCTGCTCTGGTGGTTGTAAGTCTTTCCCCTTGAAAGAACTCAAAGGTCACACGGACCAGGGTGGACTATTAAGAGTTGGGATTAAAACGAACTAGAGGGTTGGGTTCCAGTGTGAGCAGCAGTGGCCATGGAGACCCCAGTCCTGGAGCTTCCCTGGGCTGGGAAGAGCCGCGGCCATGCCTTTGGTGGACTAGACCCTCCTCGGAGCAGCAGCACCGGGCCCTCCAGCACCGGGTAGTGGGCTCAGGCTGGGTCCTCACACTTCACTTCAGATGAGGACCTGCCCACTGGGCCGGGTGGTCTGACCTGATGGCTGGATGCTCCCTAAACCCACATCTCATCTCCTTGAGCTTGTTTTTTAGTTTTGTTTTTTTTAAAAAATATATTCCATTGATTTTTTTCCAGAGAGGAAGGGAGAGGGAGAGTCAGAAACATCCATGAGAGAGAAACATTGGTCAGCTGCCTCCTGCACCGCCCCCACCGGGGATGTACCTGCAACCAAGGTACATGCCCTCGACCAGAATCGAACCCGGGACCCTTCAGTCTGCAGGCCGACGCTCTATCCACTGAGCCAAACCGTCCAGGGCTTGTTTTGTTTTCTTAAACAGCTTTTCTCAGATGCTTTTGGGATTATTCAAGGCAAAGGGTTCAAGTATGTGGTACCCAGGATGCCTGGGGTTCTACACCCCCCCCGAGACTGGATTGCCATGGCCTTGGCTCCTAGCTGAGTGCTCAGTGGGGCTCTGAGGTCAAGGCGACTTGGTTCTTCAAGCTACGCATTCTCACCCCGGGGCAGACACAGCGAATGGGAACCATTTGAAGTGAAAATATGAACATTATTTAATAACTGATCTTCTGTAATAAACCATTTGAAAATATTTTACAAGGAATCACACACACAATATTTTACAAAGTTTCTTGACTTTTTTGTCGCTGTTGTTTTTCTGACTTGTCTGTACAAAATAGAACAACCAAAAAAAAAGGGCAGAGAAGAGGAAATGGCCCCCAAGTCCCCCCCAGATCCCCCGAGCCCGAGGTGAGGGGGCAGCCAGGTCAGGTGGGCAATGAGAAGGGTCAGACCCAGCTGGGGGTTGGACAACTACCTGATGGGAATTGTTTTGTCTGTTTTTCCGTTTTTTAAACTTAAAATATATTTATTTTTCTGTATATGTTTGATTCTTTTTTATTTTTATGTTCCCCATTGAGCACCTGACTACACTACAGTTACACACACGCCCTCATGAGACACGGCTGGCATCAAGGCTGGGTGTACAGCATGGACACCCACCCTGGCACCAGCAGCGGGCATGGACCAGACACACACACCGAGAAAGCGACAAGCAACATGACATTAATTAACGGAGCCATTAATTAATGCATCCCTCCCCCCTCCTCCCAGTCCATCTGAGCCCCATGGCCACATCCCTGCCCTCAGTCCCCCACCAGCCCCCAGGCTGGGATGCCTCTGGAGGAAATGACCAGAATGAATGGTGTGAAGAAGTGTGCCCAGGCTCAGCCTCTTTGTGTGCACAGAGTGTGTCTATGTGTGTATGCGTGTGCAAGTGTGTGTTCAGCAGGGAGGAGCAGTTTGGCCTCCTGGGGGTAGGGAGTGTGTGTGAATGGGAAGGAGACAGGAGGTGGGCACAAGCCTGAGTGTGTAAGGGCCAGGTTGTGGGGTGGGGTGGCCCAGCCAGGAGCAATCACGTCACCCTGCTAAGGCAAAGGGCGCTGTCTGGTGAGGGTTCCTCTGCCGGGGGTGCGGGCAGTGGTATGTGGTCCCACAGGGGCCTGACACTACTGATAAATGGTTACAATGAGCACCTGGCGGGGGGTGGGGGGGGGAGGGCATTTAGGGGACACTGGCGGCTAGGGGGGTACAGAGGGGCCTTTGCCCCCTGCCCCAGCATTTGGCACTGTTTGACATTCAGCTTTAGATGGAGGATCAGCTGGGCTGCAGGTCAGGCTAGAGGCAGGCAGTGAGCAGGAGCGGGAGTGTGTGCATGCCAGCCCTCCCGCCAGCCCTGCCCCTCTGTAAGGCTTCATGGCCCCCCCCCCCCCCCCTGTGCGTGTCTGTGTGTGTCCTCCGGGATGTGTCTGCTCCGAATCAGTTCCTGCCCTCAGGCTCCAGGTGTGTGTGGGTGTGTCTGAGCCAGTTTCACGTCACTGCTTGACACCTGCCGGGCTTGGGTGGAGGGGGAAGGGGATGGAGGCCTGAGAGGAGCAGGACCCAGGGGTGCTGGCCCAGGACCTCTCCTGCCAGGACTGAAGCTGGGACACACGGGGCTCCGCTGTCCCCAGGGAACCCACATTTGGTCCCAAGTGGGGCAGCAGGGCCAGGTTGGAGCAGTTCCGTGGGGCAGGGTGGGCAGTGGGGCCTGGTTTGGCACCAGTACTGTGGCTTCCCTGTCCCAGGGGTGGGTAAGTCCAGCGGAAATGGGGGTCTGGAGACACGGACAGTTCAGCAGCAGATGTGCCTGGGCGCCAAAGACCTGCAGCGCCCTCCTGTGGGCACCCCGCACCCCCTCCAAGGCTAAGCCTCTGGGGGCCTGGTGCGTTCAGTCCTTCAGTGAGATAGGGGGTGAGGATCTAAGGGGGAGCGGGGAATGCGGGAGGCCTGGGGGGAGCCAGGAGGGCTGCTCAGAGGCGGCGCGAGGTGTGGGCGTGGACTTGATGAGCCTGCGGCCCGGGAGGCAGGCCCAGGAGGAGCAGCAGCTGCAGGGAGACCAGGACGCCCAGCGACGGCGGGAAGGAGGCTCCGCGGCCGCAGTCTGAGGTATCTTCCTGCAGAAGGGAAAAGGAGCCGGTCAGCCTGCAGCCGGGGCAGCGGAGGGCGCAGGGCCGCGCAGCCCCGGGGAGGAGAGCGAGTGTCCAGTCCACCATCCCCTACTCACTGTCGCGTTGTAGTCGAAGCAGATGTGCGGGCCTCTCCGATATCGCGGTCTCTGCACCAGTTCGCACTGCTCCGGGCCGTCCGCTGGGCATGGGTGGGGAGTCAAGGAGGCGGCCAAGGCGGCGTGGGGGGTGCGGGGCGCGCGGGGAGCGGGGACGGGGGCGGGGGGCGCGGCGGGGGCAGGATACAGTGCGTCTCCTTCTGCAGCAGCCGGCCGGCCTCACACTGGCTGCACAGCGGCTTCTCCGCCACCACGAAGAGCAGGTTGGTGTTCATCAGTCTCTGCGCGTGGAACAGCCTGGAGGCAGCACAGAAAGGCGGGGCGTAGAGGCCGGCCCCGCCCCTCCGCCCACGCCCCAATCAGACCACGTCCTCCCCCGGCCCCGCCCACCAACCCCGGTGGCGCCCCAATCAGGCCCCACCCTCCGCCCACACCTCAAATGGCCCCGCCCACCAATCTAGGCCCCGCCCCGCCCTTCCCGGCCGCCCCAGCACCTGGAGCAGTTGCCACAGTCGATGATGGCGTTGTAGGAGGCGTTCACCGGCCCGAAGTAGTACTGCGTCTGCTTCATGACGCAGCTGCTCTCGCGCGCCTCGGGGCTGCCCTCGGCCTCGGCGGGATCTGCGCGACGGAGCCTCAGCCTCAGCCTCAGCCTCAGCCACAGCCCAGCCACAGCCACAGCCACAGCCACAGCCACAGCCACAGCCCAGCCACAGCTACAGCCACAGCCACAGCGACAGCCACAGCCACAGCCACAGCCAGTCACAGTCACAGCCACAGCGACAGCCACAGCCACAGCCCAGCCACAGCCACAGCCACAGCCCAGCCACAGCCACAGCCACAGCCACAGCCACAGTCACAGCCACAGCGACAGCCACAGCCACAGTCACAGTCACAGCCACAGCGACAGCGACAGCCCCCAGCCCAGCCACAGCCCAGCCACAGCCACAGCCACAGCCACAGCGACAGCCACAGTCACAGCCACAGCCACAGCCACAGCCAAAGCCACAGCCCAGCCACAGCCACAGCCACAGCCACAGTCACAGCCACAGCGACAGCCACAGTCACAGCCACAGCCACAGTCACAGCCACAGCGACAGCCACAGCCACAGCCACAGCGACAGCCACAGCCACAGCCCAGCCACAGCCACAGCCACAGCCACAGCCACAGCCACAGCCCTCCACCGCCGCGCCCCTTGGGGCCCCAGCTCCTCTCCACGCGCTCGGCCATGACCCCGCCCTCCCTCGGGGAGAGGGGCTGGGAGGAGGGGACTTCAGCGCCAGTCCTACCTGCTTGGAACCAGCTGTGGTAGATGAGGCCATAGAGAAGCTGCTGGAACAAGGACCTGCAGGGCCGGTCACCGAGTGGGAGTGGTCAGCGGCGCCAGGGCCCCGCCCATTCCCCTGCAGCCCTCCCCGACCCTCTGCCCTCGAGGGCTCACCAGGCCGCCGCCGAGGTCCACCAGGCCAGGTTCAGGAAGTCTGCGATGGTGGGCTGCAGAGAGAGGCACGCTGCCACTGCTGCCCGGACCCTGCACCCGCTCTCTCAGAGGGACGGGGTCATCTTTCGTCAGGCCTCCCAGCCCCCCACCCTCCAGCTCCAGGCCAGGCATTGCTGGGGCTCACCACAAAGACGCCCCGGGGAGCAGCACCCAGGTTGCCCGGGGGCTGTGGGGCGCAGGCGGCCTGGTAGTCGTAGGACTCCTTGCGGGTGTAGAAGGAGTTGTTGTAGAGGGCCAGCATCAGGTTGGCATCCACCTCACTGAAGAACCTGCCCACCTGGGTAGCGGGGAGGGGACCCGTCACAGGGCTGGCGGCCCCTCCCCCGCCAGGCTCAGACCCCGCCCCCTCCTACCCTCTTCCTGACTCTCACCTGGTCCCACTGGTGGTTCTGGTTCGACAGCACCAGGAATCCCCCATCATCAATGAGGACACAGAGCAGGTCCTGAACCGGAGGAGGGGAGGAAGACGGAGAGGGGCTTGGGCCCAGACCTTCCTCCCCAGACCCTGGCCGTCCGCGGGTTGACTGGAGGGGCACCACTTCCCCCAGTTCCGGTAAAGCTGTGAGGTCAGGGCGGGGAGGGCCTAGGAGTTGCGGGGGGCAGGGGAGAATGAGAAGTCCAGGGCGCACCCACCTCATTGTTAACCTCGCAGTCCATCTCACAGTGGGTGCTGGGGCCGCACTGCTGGGCAGAGAGCAAGGACTGTAAGGTGTCCACCAGTCTCCCCCTCCCAGCACCCTCCACCCCTGGGCTCCCCAGGCATCTGCACCAGCCCCTGCCTCCCACAGGCACTGGAGACACTGAGAGGGAGGACTGGTAGAGGTTCCCGGGGGCTCCAGAACGCGTGCTGCTGGGCTGCGGCCCCCACCCCTGCCCAAGTACCTTCTGAGGCTGGTCCTGGTGGGTACGGTTGCTGGCTAGCACCTTGAACTTCTCAGCCCAGGCTTCTAGATCCAGCTTAACACCCACCACTGGCGGGGAGAGCAAGGGCCATCAGTGCCTGCCTGCCTGCCGGCCTAGGCAGCACCCTGCCCACTGTGGGCCCCTCCCTGCTCCCGCCACGGGCACTGACCTGCTGGTCTCAGGGTGCGTCCGCCCAGACTGAACTCCACAGCGGTGCTGACCAGGATGCCCACCGTGTCATTCTCCAGCTCCAGAGGCCTGAGCAGGGCTGGGCGAGGCAGTCAGGGTGGGGGCTGGCCCAGGAGCCCAGCCAACGCTTCCCCCAGCCCTAAGCACCCAGCACCCAGGGCAATGGTCAGCATAGCCCCGCCCTCTCTCCTCATCCGCCCACCTCGGCGCCCATCTCAGCCTGCCTCGTGTTTGGGAGGGGCCTCGGGGAGGAGAGCCCTGCCTGGAGGAGCACACAGCGTGGCCTCAGCTCCCTGCTGCTGTGCATCCGGGGGACACGCACCCTCCTGGTGTGGGGGCCTGAAGACGTATCCGCGGTTATCCAGGCTGCGGCGGTAGAAACTGGCATTGAAGGGCTCCGGGTTCTCTGTCCAGTCTTCAGCTGCCCTGGTCACCCAGGAAGGCAGAGGTTGGTGGAAGGGTGGCTTATGGGGGACAGCGGTCTCAGCAGGTGCCCAGGCCTCTGGGCGGCAGGACGGAGGCGGGGTCCCAGGCAAGGGCAGGGTGTTGGGAGTGGGGTAGGTCGCTTACTTGTTGGGGAACACTCGGGTGATGCCGCCGTCAGTGGCAGCAAACACGGCCAGAAGGCTGTACCTGGGGGCAGCAGGGAGGTGAGGTCACAGGCTGCCTTCACGGGCCCATCCCGGCCTCCTGCCCCCACAGCCCGGGCGGTGCCTACGTGTTGAGATCCTGGTCCCGCCACACGCGCTCCACCAGCTGCTGGGTGATGCCCGTGTCCAAGATCAGGTTGTGCAGAAGGAAGTTGTTGCCTGAAAGGGGAGGGCAGGGGTGGGGGGCAGCTTTTCATGGCTCCCTGCCCACGGACCCCCTCCCCTCAAGGCTCTAATGGGAGCCTTCCCCATGCCCTGGCCCGGCCTGGCCCTTGGCTTAGGCCTGCATCTTCCACACCTGCTGGTTCCGGCTCCCGGGCCGCCCCATCCGCACTCACACTGCTTGGAGTCCGGAGTCACTTTCTCCATGAGCTCGATGAAGTTTTTCAGGAACTCGGTGTTGTTGTCTGAGGCATTCAGGTCCTTGCAATACTCTCTGGGGGCAGAGGGGGGGCAAGAGGAGTGGGCTTGGGGGGCTGGACAGGGCAGAGGGTCGAGGCTTCCCAGCAGGTCTTCCAGGTCATTTGCTGGTCAGCCAGGCCTCCAGGCGGGGGGCAGGTGTGTTCTTACAGGCTGTAGCCGCTCCGGGCCTGGCAGGCTCGCAGGTCTGAGGGGGGGCAGAGCTGACAGAATGGGGGTCTACTTCCTCCATCCTGGAAGGTTCTTGCTCCTGGACATGGCCCTGCAGAGCCTCCCACCTCTCCTGCGTATCTGGACCGGGATGGAGCACGGGGAGGCCCTCCGGTGGTGCCCCACCTGTGTGCTGTCCTGGTCTGTGAGCACCAGGTGGGTGGTCCCAGCACCGCTGCTGCGGACTCAGACCTGACCCTGCGCTTCCTGGCTGTGTGCCTCGCCTCGGGCCACTCACCCAGCTTCCTGAGCTGGTTTCCTAATCGCAGCAGGTGAAGAGGCCCCTCGCAGGGGCCCAGGGTGGGGGCTGCGGGGTGTGCGGCCTGTTTAGGCTCCGCTCCCCAGGAAGCCCGGTGAAGAGCTGTTTTTCCTGCCCAGGTCCTACTCCCACCCTGGCCTCAGAGACCTCCCTCCCTGCTGGTCCGCAGGCAGCAGCGAGCTGGGAACTTCACAGGGTGCTGCTTCTCGGGCCCTGCTGGGGCCCACAGCTTAGTGAGGGCACCAGGCCCCGTTCTCAGCCCCCTGCTCCCTGGCCAGGGCCCCTGGGCCGTGCATAGCTTCCCCACCGGGTGTAGAGGCCACACCTGACATTCCCAGAGAGACCACCGATCAGCGAGGCCTGAGGTGCGTGCCCCTGCAGCCCCCTGTGTGCCTTTCTGTTTGCGGGTTACATTCTTCACTCACCCCACACGTATTTATCGAGCGCTCCCGAGCCAAAGACACAGGTGACAAAAACAGACACAGTCTCTGTCCTCAAAGAGCTCCCTGAGGGTCACACAGTCCTTTCCACACATTTCCAGCGGCTGCTGCGCACAGCCACCCACAGCTACCAGGCGCTTCAGACACCCACAGGGACTCACAAACACACACACGCAGCTACCCGTCGGAGAACCGTGTGGGCGCATGCGCGCACGTGCACACACGCGGTTAGGAGTGTCCAGAGCCCGGCGTGGTGCCCGGGGTGCCCCGGGTCTCTTAGCTGCACCCACCTGCCCCCCTCCAGAGCCCGGGGCGCAGGGGAGGGCGTGACCACCTGGGGCCCCCTGGCTCCTGCAGGTGTGGGCCGCAGGCAGGGTGCGCCCCCAGGATGCATGTGCACGCTGAGCGCACTCAAGGGGTGGTCCAGGCCTGACCCCTCACTTGTCCCCCGGCCCCTCTTCCACCCTGTCCTCCGAGAGCCACCACACCTAGACTCGGCTCTGCCGACGGGGCTCTGGCGGGCTCGTCCTCAGACCCACACAAACACTGACTGACACAGGACAAGGACGGGGTGCAGGGCGGGGCGGGCGGGGGGAGGCACCGCAAACCAGAGCAGCAGCTGCCCAGCCAGCCCGGGGCACAGAGGACTCCTGGTTGCCTGGGAGGGTAGGGAAGTGGGCAGAGGGTGCAGAGCCCTCCGCGCCAGGCCTGCTGGGAGGGGAGCCGGGGCAGCCGGCACCGCTGCCTGGTTCAGCTACATGGCCCGGGTATGCACGTGGCGCACATACGGGCTATGCATGGGGAGGGGGCGACACTGCACAGGACAGACACACAGAGCTCCAGGCAGCAGTGCAGGGGGCGGGCCGGGGTGGGGAGGACGCCTCAGCAAGGCCACACGCAAGCTACCTGGGAGCAATGAAAACATGTCCTTCAGACTCAAAGCTGCTGGGGAGCAGGAACTCAAAATCTGCAACAGAAACGGGGGTTATCCGGCGGGGGCTGGGGAGGTGGGAGGCCAGGGGCTCAGAGCTCAAGGGGCTGGAGGGACAGGGCGGGGGTGGCTTCAGGGAGGGGGAGACACTAGCAAAGAGGAAACCCGCCACTTCCATGTTCAAGTTCGAGCCAGAGAGAGAGGGTGGGGTGGGGAGGGTGGAGCCTGTGGAGACCACAGCACCGCAGGAGGGCAGTTGTAGCCAATATGTTGCCCGGGCCCGGCCCTCTGTCGGCAGTGAGTCCCTTGGCGCGGCTGTATATGCTTCCATACGGCTGTATAGCACATATACACGGACACACACACGCACATATATATACACACACTGCTATATATATGCATGGTCTGGGGGCGCCAGTCTCGCGCGTATCGCGTCCATAATGGAAAAACCACATGCTGACTCCCTGCGCCTCCACAGAGACTGAGGGCGGGAGTGGCTTTGGCTGCAGATCCGTATCTCTCTTTGCTGCAGCTCTTTGCATTTTGGTAGGTCTTGCTTTTGTTGTGTGTCAGGCATCAACATGGCCAAACCGAGGGGGTTTCTCACGGGCACAGACAGTCCAACCAGAGACAGTGTGGGCAGCCGGGGTGGGCTGCAGTGCATTGTGGGGGCTGGCGGTCCTCCCCAGGGTAGGAGCTGGGGGAGGGGAGACCTTGTGGTGCCCGGGAAAGTTCCCACGCTGCAGGGGGCGAGTCTGGGGGCTGGGAGGCGACGGGAGGGCTGCTTGAATCTGCACACCTGCCCTCTTGGGCTGGGAGCATGAGGGCGGGAGGGGGGAGGGGGGTTTCTCCCCCTTCCTAGGACCTGTGTGGGCTCAGAGCAGGCATGGGGTGCTGGTGAGGGATCCACCGATGGGGCCCGTGCAGGCGTGAGTGACATGAGCCTGTGTGTGTGCATGCCACTGTCCCTGCGTGGGTTTGTGGGCGTCTGGGACCGGCCCAGTGGGACTGGCCACCTTGCTCTGGGCAGAGGGTCCCCCTGCCATCCTCACACCCAGATTCCAACCTCTCAGTCACCCCAGGGCTTGGCTTTTGCCGAGGAGGGGTCTTCCCTGTTCCCCAATACTCCCACAATGCACTGCAAGATTCCAGGGAAGGGGGACTTGGGGTGCCTGGGGGGCTGGGCAGTCACTGGTTGGACTGTTGCTTTCTGATAGGACTGGGAGGCAGGGTTTGGACACAAGCCGACAGGGCAGGGGTGGGGAGGAGAGGAGGAGGAGAAAGAAAAAGGAGGTGGGGAGCAGGAAGGGAGGCTGTGCTATGGTTGTCACTGTTACCAGGGCCCTGCAGTTCTGGGGTCCCTGGGAGGGGTGCAGAGGGGAGAAAAGACAACTCAAGCCAGTGGAAGTGGGGCCTGTCCCTCACCCCCACCCCGGCTCGCGGGGGCAGGTGTATTCCCTTCGCGGGGGGGGGGGGAGCGTGTCTGCACAGTGGCAGTCCCTGGCCTGCTGCTCTCCCCCCCTCATTCTCACCAGGCCCGCACGTTCACTGCCTTCCTTTCCCGGGATTCTTACCTGGGCACCTCTGAGCGCCAGACCCTGCTCTTCACATCCAGCTGGATCCCTCCCAGCTCTTTTGTTGGCCCTTGGGGTCCAGAAAGATCCCCTTCCTTCCCCAGTCAGGGGCACCGCCCTGTGTCTGCCTTCACTGGACTCCTTCTCCAACCTGCCCACCTCCCCAGGGGCAGAGAGCGCCCAGCGCAGGGCTGGGCTGGTGGCCTGAGCCACGGCTCTGGGTTTCAGCACCATGGCCAGCGCCCAGGAAGGTCCGGGCTGCCTTGCTGGCCAGGCGGTCTGGCTGCTGCCCTGTCCTGCCCACGGGCCTCAGAGCCTCCGTCTCCCCTGCAGCCAGCGCGGGCGATCAGGGAAAGCGCTTCCCCAGGAAGCCTGCGTGGCTGGCCCTTTCCCGCGAGCGTCACACAGTCCCTCTGAGGCCTGGTCTGCCCCCTGCGTCTTAGGCCCCTGCACTGCTGGGTGGGGGTGGTGCAGAGGCCTCCAGCCCTGCTCCCACTGTTGAGTTGTCTTCCAGGGACAGAGAAGGGGGGGACCGGCCCAGAGGGAGCCAGGAGGGTGAGAGGGGCCTGAGCTCTCAGAACACGTTGGAGAACCGCCCTGCTGGTAGGGCCGGGGAGAGGGCCGCTGGCTCTAGTAGGGATCCGAGGAAAGGCAAGAACTGGGGGAGCCAGGGGGATGCTGGGAGGGGGCCCTGGAGAGCAGGGGTGTGGCCGGTCCTGGGCAGGGAGGGGGGCAAGCAGGGGCGTGAGGGCGGGTGGGGTGGGGAGGGGGGTGCACTGGTTCTGAATATACTTGCCCTTCAGTTTGCTGATTGGCACTGGGACAGTCCACCAAGAGAGAAAGCGAGGAAAACAAAACAACACAAACACAAAAACAAACGAAAAGGGGGAGGGGGAGGGGAGGGGCACAAACAATATTTTATTCAATGGCCGTTTGAATGAAAATATTGTGTCTTATCATCATACCGAAAGGAAACTTCTTGCAAAAAAACGACGTGAGAGAGAAAGAGAGAGAGCGAGGAAGCTCAAAGGAGATGCGCCCCAGTGGGCCAGGCAGGTGGGGATCGCCCGAGGGGGCCGGAGCCCCAGCCTCCCTCCCCGTGACCTCGGTGGTGGGCAGGCGGGGCCACAGGCTCCCGGAGGCCCAGGGTGGGTGGGCCATGCAGGGGTGAGCCACAGGCAGAGAGTGGGAGAGGGAGGGAGGGAGGGAGGGAGGGAGGGAAGGAGTGAGCAGAAAGGGGGGGAAGAGAGGGAGATAGAGAAGGGGGGGTGAGGGAGGGGAAAGAGAAGGAAGGGGAAGGAAGGAAAGGGGGAGAGGGAGGGAGAAAGATGAGGAGCAAGGTGAGTGAGGATGATGGGGGAACAGCAGAAGGGCGAGGGGGGAGACCCGGTGTTGGCGCCCGGGGTGAGAGCTGCAGGGAGAAGAAGGGGGTGAGGGGAGCGTGTTCTCCAGGAATGCACCCCAGGGGTGCGCGGGGGGGAGGGGTGAGGCCAAGGAGGGAAGACACGGAGTAGGAGAAACCAAAAACAGAACCTCAACGGAAGCCATGAGAGAATGCTCTGGAACCGAATCTGAGCAAAGGCAAGCATGCAGAGTCCACAGACTTTCCGGGCTGGCGCCCAGCCTGCGGGCGCCTGGGGACAGGCAGACGGGCGGGAGGGGCCTCCTGGCTGCAGGCAGCTGGCTACACTGCCCGAGGCCAGCCAGGTGCCAGGGTGCCAGGGTGCGGGGCGGAGGCAGGGGTGCAGGGCACAGGCAGGGGCTGGCCACTTACACTTGACCTGCAGGATCTGGTCGCTGAGATTGGCTTGGAGGTAGAAGGTGCTGTAGGGAGGGAGCACGAGCCCTAGGCTGGGGGGAGGGAGGGGCGCAGGTCACTGCTGGGGAGAGGCGGGCACCTTGGCACCCCCTCCCCATGGCCTTGGAGCTGGGTGAAGACCCAGGCTGTGGCCTCCCCTCCCCTGACCCCAGGTACGTCTTCCCCTGTTTAGTGGTGGGAGATCCACGGCCTTGGGGCCTGGACCCTCCACTCCCCATCTTCTCCTCGAGGCCTCAGAACTTCCAGCCCCAAAGCAAATTTCCACCCGACCCTTCACGCCCAGAGGCCCCCCCCAACATACCAACTGCCCCGCCAGCCTCCTCCATCTGGCCAGCAGCAAGCTCACCAGGGGCAGAACACTGTCAGTGAGCTAGGCTGGGGCGCTGCTTGGGGGGGAGGGCCCGCAGCCCCCAGAGACTCAGGCCACCGAGAGCTGAGAGCCGCTGAAAGCAGGGCTGGCACTAACATGGGGGGCAGCTCAGGCAGGGATGGGATGTGAATGAGGCTCGGACACTGCCTGGGCCTGAGCCACAGGGACCTGGTCGGGCTGTGCTGCCTGCCGGAGAGCAGGCCCGTGAATGTGCTGAGGGAGACATTGGGATGCAGACACCCAGGGTACCATCTGGGCAGGAGGGGCGGGAGGGGTTCGCAGGGAAGCGGCGGATCCTGTGCTCCCAGGAGAGGCCCTTGGGGACTGAGTGTCGCGGGGGGGAGGGGGGGATGGGGGGGAAGATGGGAGCGCCCGGCTGCAGGTGCCTCACTGCACTCTGGTGTGGGGCCGGCTGGGCTTGGGGCCCCCCCCGCCTTTCCCTGCCGGCCCCACCGTGGCCCCACTCACCTGTAGTTGGTGCTCCTTATGGGCACCCAGGTGTAGTTCCGCATCACCTCATCGATGTACCGCTGGGAGGAGAGGCGGGGTCAGGCACCTGGGCCAGCAGGCGGGTGGGGCCGGGGAGGACCATGTCCGCCTGCCACTGTCCCTGCCACTGTCTCACCTCGTCCAGGGACTTGACCAATGTTCTGATCTGCTTGTGGCCCTTGTTGCCGTCGATCATGCTCCGACGGATCTGCAAGAGCCAGAGACGTGAGGGTGGGGCCCTGCCTTCCTCCACTCTGGGCGCCGCACCCCTGCTCCCCTCCTTCCTCACCTCCTCCTTATTCTCATCTTCCAGCTCTGCATCCAAGAAGTCCAGAGTCACGGGCTCCCGGAAGTTGGTGGTCTGGGGGGGGGGGGCGGGCCAGGCAGGAAGTCAGAGGCCCCATCTCACAGGGTCCACCCCCCTCCAGGCCACTCGCATGGCTCACCTGGGGCTTGAGGTTGGGGTGCAGCAACACGTAGCCGTTCAAGTCAATGGCAAACACGTAGCCGTTGGCTCCAAGCTGGGGGTATAAGTTGGGGGGCTCAGGGCCTGGAAGCTGGGCAGGGGTTCCCTGGTCTCTAGAGCTTTTCCTTATCCTGCCTTCCATGCCGCCGAGGGGTGCCACCTACCTGCCTGGGCCGGGCCCCCACATGCTACGGGGCCCCAAGCCTGCTTCTCAAGCCCAGCCCAGCAGGCCGGTGCCCCTCTCCAAGCAGCCCTGGCCTGGCTGACCAGCTCCGTGCGACCACCACTCACCTGGCAGCCTGGGCTTCTCCCCATCCCTGGTTCTAATGGAGCTGTCAGTAAGCGGGGCTCCACCTCCACTGGCCCCACCCCCTCCTGCCTCCTCCTGGTGCCCATCTCAGGAGAGGCACAGGGGAGGAGCGGACCCCGGGTCCCACAGGCCTGGGGCTCCCTCCTGGACCCACCCTCACCTCTTGGCAGTTTTCTCAGTGCACCTGGAGCCCAATGACATGGGGCCTGCGTGTGGCTCAGGTGTAAGGATGTGGTCATACCCCCCCACCCCCCACCCCTTTCACAACTCACAGGCCTGGGCAGCCACACTGCCCTGCCCCTGCCCTGGCTTAGAATTCTGTTTTTCACATTCAGGCTTTTGTCCAGAGAATCCCCTCTGCCTTCCCCGCCTTTCTACCCAGGCCACTCCTGCCATGCAACGGCTGGGAGGCGTCAAACTACAGCCTCGGGGCCACACCTGCTCGCCGCCTGCTCCTATCTAGCTGTCAGCTGCAAACGGCTTTGACATTTTTAAATGCTTGAAAAGATCAAAAGCACACTTCTGTTTCATGACAAGCGGAAATTACCGGAAGCTCACATGTCAGTGTCCGCAAGCCAATCGCGCTAGAGCAGGCCACGCCCGTTTGTTTGGTCTGGGGCCTGTTCCCAATGGAGCCGCAGATGGAGCGGAAATGTGCGCACTGAGGCTGGCGGGGCCTCAAGCAGTCACAGTCTGGCCCATCACAGGAAGTTTGCCCACCCCAGCTCTAGGCCCAAGGTCACCTCCTCCGGAAGCCTTCCCTGACTGCCTGAACTCAGAGGTCTCCACGGGTTGTCTGATCGCCACCAGCCTCCTGTGCGGGGCCCGGCCGTGTCCCCACGGGAGGCAGAGCGGGGCGACACTCACGGTGTAGTTGGGAGTCAGCCTCTTGATGTCATTCAGCGCCACATCAATACCCATCACGCCCAGGATCAGCTGGTTCTGGGAGCAGAGGCGGGGTCTGTCACAGGCTCAACCCCACGGGAGCCCCCTGCCCACCCCATGCCCAAGGCTTCAAGCAGCTCTCACAAGCGGTCCCATAGGTCTACCTATCCCTCCTCCATGCCCGCCCTTCCCGCCACGCCTCGTCCTCCCCGTGGAGCCCCTCACCTTCTTCTCCCCAGGGCCATCCTGCGTCAGGTTGAACACTGGGAGGGTCCCTGTCACCACCAGCCCCAGCCCCTGCAGGGAGAGCAGGATGGTGGTCTGTGGCCAGCCGGGCCCCGCCCCGTGTTCGGAGCAGAGGAGCGAGCGGCCTTTCTTGCTCCTCTGCTGGGTTTACCCCACCAGGAGGCCCTCAGGGGCAGGACTCTGCGGGCACCTCGGCCGGGAAGGGCACCCGGCCCCCCCCGGAGCCTTACCAGCGCGTCCTCGTACACGTTGGTCCACTGCACCTGCTTGGCCTCCTTGCCCGCCAGCACCATGGGCCTGCCCAGTACGTCCAGATATTCCTGCGGAAGGGACAGCGGCCAGGGGTCACTGGGTCCCTCCCACGGTCCCTCCCCTGTTCCGCCTCCCCGTGCATCCTCAGGCCACCAGGGGGCGCGCTCACCCCACAGCACAGCAGCTCATCCCAGGCGCTGTCCCCCTGGCAGCAGGGGGCTGGGAGGAGGGGGCCGGCCGGCTCACCTGTGTGTTGATGCGGATGGCTCCGATGGAAGGGATCTCAAAATAGTAACCTGTGAGGGAAGGCGAGGCAGAGGGGGCTGCTCAGGACTCCACACGGGAGCTGTGCCCCGGGGTGTGCCTGCAGCCCTGACTTGTCCCTTAGGCTCCCTCTCTTTCTGGTGGCACTTCCCCTGAATCATGTCCCGTCAGTGCTCCCTGCCATCGCCCGCCAACGGACCCCGGGGAGGGACTGTGAGTGCAGGGGTGTGAGGAAGCAGAGCTGGGGAGACAGAGGAGCCGAGGCCTGGAGTCCCTCGTTCTAGGCGGGCAGTGACCCTCAGGGCCCACCCAGGGGACAGGCCCAAGTGTGTGGAGAGACAGACTGACCAGCAAACAGACACAGGAGCAGACAAGCTGCGAGACAGAGGGGCGGCGGGCACTCAGACAGAGGGGCGGACAAGCTGTGAGACAGAGGGGCGGCGGGCACTCAGACAGAGGGGCGGCGGGCACTCAGACAGAGGGGCGAAAAGACGCTCGGTCAGATGGACAAGTTGGCCACACAGAGAGAGGTGGACAGTCACGTGTGTGGGAAGATGCACAGACAGTGGATGCACAAGCAGCTGGACCTTCGCACGGACAGGCGGACAGCCGGCCCGACACGAGGGAAAGCGGTGACGCCAGGGCTGCCGGCAGAGGTACCTTTGTTGGCGCAGGCCATCCACTGCAGGGGCGTGACGTCGTAGTTGTGCTGCCCCACGGAGAAGGTGAACACGCGCACCTGTTTGGGACCCGAGGTCACGGCCGCGGCCGCCAGAGCGCAGCCCGCCCCCGCCCCTGCCCCCGCCCCCGCCCCCACCCCCGCCCCGGGCCTCACCGTGCGGTTGGGCCAGTTGTACTTCTCAAAGACGTCCTGCACGCGGTCCTCGCCCCCGTCCGTGAACATCATGATCATCTTGTTGCAGTTGGCGCGGGTGATGTTGGACTGGGCAGGAGGGGGGGTGGGGTCAGGTGGCTCTTGGCCCCTCCTGGTGGGGGGGGGGGGATGGGCCTCCCTCCCCCGCAGGCCTGACCCGCTGGCCCGGCTCCCACAGCAGATGGTGCCGGCGGCCGGAGCTGCCTGTTGGGTGCTAACAAGGCCATTCGTCTTGATTTCCCCGGTGTCACCGAGCCCGGGCCCTCCCGCCCCGGCCGCGGGCTCACGTTCTGCAGCTGGTCGAAGGCGTACTCGAAGCCGGCCTTGTAGCCCGTGGTGCCCTTGGCCACCATGCCCTGCACGGCCTCCTTGAACACCTTCTTGTTGCGCACGTTGGCCTGCACCAGGTGCGTGAAGCAGGACACGGGCTGCGCCTTCTCGTTGAACTGCAGGGACAGCGAGGGGGGTGACGGCCCGGCCCGGGGCTTGGGGGGTGGGGGGACCCGTGGCAGGCCCCCCTGCCGCCCCGGCACCCACCGAGGCCACGTTCACGTAGTCGTCGTCCGAGAGCGTGTCCAGCATCTCGCACACGGACGTCTTCATGAGCTTCAGGGTCAGGCCGCTGACGCTGCCGCTCCTGGGGAGGTCGCGGGCGGCGGGGTGGGCCTCAGGGGTCCTCCTGCCACCCCCCCCACGATGCCCCGGGCAGCAGGTTCCAGCCCTCGCTCCGCCCCCACCCCATCGGCCACATGGCTCACTCACACGTCCACGATGATGACCATGTCCTTGGGGGAGGAGGCCCCCTGGATGTACCTGCCCACAGAGGCTCCGGTGAGGGCCAGCCGCGCTGGGACCGGCGGCTCCCTCCTCCCACCCCCACCCGCCTCAACTGATTCCACGGGGCGGCCCCTGCGTGGGCCACCGGGGCTCTGGGCACTGAGGGTACCGCATTTCATAAAACCGTCCTTGCCCATGACATGCGTGACCTGGCCCCCCAGCACGTGAGCGACCGCGAGGAGGGGGAGCAGGTGACCCAGAGAGGGGGCTGGAGGCACGGTCCCTGGTCTCGGGGGCCTCTCGTGTTCCCAGCCCAGGACGGGGTCCCAAGGGCAGAGTCCTGTGCGCAGGACTGAGCAGGTGGCAGGGAGGGGGAAGGTCGTGGCTTCTGGCGGGAGAGGCAGAGCGGAGGGGAGGGCTCAGCTACGGGGGGCTGGCCGACCCCACAGAGGATACGCCCCCCCCAACCTGCACTGTCCCATCCCTCAGTCCCGAGGGGGTGGGGTGCCAGGCAGTGGACGGGGCAGAGGCAGCTGGGAGGCCTGCCTGGGTGATGGGATCCATTTTCCAGTGGCAACGATGTGTGAAATGAAAATTGGATAGAGCTGGCTGCGCCCTGCTCGCAGCCTGGATATCGGGCGGGAGGCGGCGGGCGGGAGGCGGGAGCCAGGGGGTGTCCCTGCCCAGCCCCCCCTTGCTCACTCACCAGGGTCTCCTTCGGACGTCGTACAGGTCGATTTTCTTGGGGGCTCGCCACGGAGTGGCTGTAGGGGAAAGGGGTGAGCGGGTCTGGCAGGGAAGGGCCCGGCCCCACGCAGGCGGCAGTTGTGGGTGACCATCCCACCCCACAGGCCCAGGAGTGGGCGGTGCCGAGTGGACGGGTGGGGGCGGTGCCGAGTGGACAGGTGGGGGCGGTGCCGAGTGGACGGGCGGGGCGGTGCCGAGTGGACGGGGCGGGGGCGGTGCCGAGTGGACGGGGCGGGGGCGGTGCCGAGTGGACAGGTGGGGCGGTGCCGAGTGGACGGGGCGGGGGCGGTGCCGAGTGGACGGGTGGGGGCGGTGCCGAGTGGACGGGGCGGGGCGGTGCCGAGTGGACGGGTGGGGGCGGTGCCGAGTGGACAGGTGGGGGCGGTGCCGAGTGGACGGGTGGGGGCGGTGCCGAGTGGACAGGTGGGGCGGTGCCGAGTGGACGGGGCGGGGGCGGTGCCGAGTGGACGGGGCGGGGCGGTGCCGAGTGGACGGGGCGGGGGCGGTGCCGAGTGGACAGGTGGGGGCGGTGCCGAGTGGACGGGTGGGGGCGGTGCCGAGTGGACAGGTGGGGGCGGTGCCGAGTGGACGGGGCGGGGGCGGTGCCGAGTGGACGGGGCGGGGCGGTGCCGAGTGGACGGGGCGGGGGCGGTGCCGAGTGGACAGGTGGGGGCGGTGCCGAGTGGACGGGGCGGGGCGGTGCCGAGTGGACGGGGCGGGGCGGGCTGGCACCCACCTGGGTAGTAGCGGGTGACCCCGGTGGCGCTGCCGAAGGCCTGCCACAGCAGCGTGGGGTCGCGCCGGCGGTTCTCGGTGAACACGGTCTCCAGGGCCTCCGTCCAGTTGAGCTCGTTGAGGATGACGGTGGCTGCGGGGGGAGCGGGGGGTGGGGTGGGGTGCGCCTGGGCTGCCCCCCCTGAGCCTCACCCGATGACACCCACGCCCGTGCCCCCACGTGGAAGCCTCACGCGCTCTCTGCCTCCCGGGCTCCCCCTCCCTCACCACGGGGCTGCCAGCTCCTCAGGGGAGCGCCTGGTCCTCACCCTCCTAAGCCACGGCTCAGCCCACCCTTCGGCGGCCCCACAGCCCGGCCGGGCAGCTGTGGCCTGTGGCCCCGGGAGCTGTGGGCTGGACCCCGACCCAGCGTGCTGCCCGCGCTGGTGGCGTCCCCCGGGAGCTCACCCATCAGCATGCACTCCGGGCCGCAGCCACAAGAAAGCAATTAAGGGCGCGATGGTGGGGCTGGAATTATTCAGCTCTTAAGGTGCCTGATAAGCTGGAAGCCACTCAGCTCCGTGATTAATCAGCCGGGCCAGGAGCAGGCGGGCGGGGTTCTCGGAGGGGCAGGGTCTGCGCCAGGCTCCCGCTCCCGCCCAGGCACGCGGGCTCACACGCACACACACACATGCACACACGCATGCGCACGCGCACAGGGCCTGCACTCCCACCAGGCAGACCTGCACCTAAGCTCTGTCACTCCAGCCACGGGTGGGATCCCCTCACCCCCCAATCCACCTGCTCCCATGCTCATCCCTGCACCCACTCTGCACCTACAGGGGACACCAGTGGGTCCTGTCCTCACAGTCCGCACGACATTTACCCCCTCCCTTCCCCCAACCCTGTGGCCAGACCCCCCCTCCGCCCCATGTGCACTCACAGAGCCTGTGACCCCTCCACCAGGGGCAGGGACTCAGGTGGCCGGAGCAGTGCCCCTGCCCCCCTCAGACAGCCCTCAAAGTGCCAGTGTGCGTGGCCTGTGGTCTCACGGGGCAGTGTACCCATCTCTGCCTGTAGGACTACAACACCCAGTGGAGTCGGGCACTCAGCCCTCCCCTGGGGGAGCCCCCCTCATGGTCCTGGTCAGAGACCCACCGCAAGGGAAAGCCAGGAAGGGCCTGCTCAGAGCGCAGCCCAAACACGGACACAGACACCTGGCGAGCAGGTGCAGCGCTGGGGGTTAGAGACACACGCTCCGGGCTCTGCCCACAGCTGGCACCACACCTCCCTGGGCCTCCTCCCTGCACCCGCTCCCCCCAGAGGCGCCTCTGAGGTGCCTGGTCTGAGCCCCCCTTCCCCCCGCGCTCACTCCCCTCTGGCCGCAGCTTCCCGTAACTGACCGTAATGGGAAAACAAAACACATTTCTGGCGTTGGCTGTGCCTACTGAACGCTGTTATGGTCTTGTTCCTAATTTAGAAACTTAGTGAGTTGAACAGTTTCTATTTTTCTCTTTAAGGAAAAAGATAAAGTCAGGCGCTTCACCCAGCCCCGTCTGTCCTGGGAGGGTCCCCCTGGCAGGTCCCCCCACCCCCCGTGCCAGGGCCTCAGTTTCCCCATCTGCACAGTGAGAGGCTTAGAGCAGATGGTCCTGGGAGCTCGCCTAGCTGCTGGCCGAGGGTGGTCCTGGCTCAGGTCAGGGGCCAGGAGAAGACCCCTGGCCCGGCGGGGCTGTCCCCGTAGCTGCCCAGACAACGCGCGCACACACATTCACCACCAGACACACGTGTGCAAACACTCCAGCCCGCCCCCCCCCCCCAACAGAGCCTGCTCCCGGGCCCCACCCGCACCCACACGCACGCCCTCAGATCACGCTGAGCTGGAAAACGGGGCCCATGCCCCCTCAGGCGGGCGATTACAGATTTAATTAAAAGTGACACAGTAAATAAAAAACATATAAAATGTAATTTGTGTGGGTAGCGAGGGGTGACTGGGGAGGGCGGCGCAGCTCCTGTTTTAATTAGGGTGCCTGCTTGTGATAGCGCGCCTCCACTGGCTCGGGCAGGGGCCTGCGGGGGCGGGGACGGCCCCCCTTCACCCCGCCTCCGGCTGCCCGGACCCCGAGGCTCCCTGCGTTCTGGAGACAGCCTCTGTCCCCAGACCCTCTGCCCAGTGGGCACCCTGGACTCTGAGGGGCCCTGTAGGTGACCCCCAATTTAAGTCATAACCAAGAGGCCCCGGAGCCTTGAGTCCTGCTGCTAGAGCTCCCCATCTAGTGTTCCCCTCTTGGCCCCCTCCCCCTCCAGCTCCCAAGACTTTCAGGAAGTTCCTCCTGATGTCTGACTGAAGTCCTTCTAGCTGTAATGGCCTGGTTTCCTCCTTGTGCAAAGCTGCCCTCCCTGGAGCCTGGAATCCCAGCCTCCTCCCCCTCCCCTCCCCCAGCAGAGGAGGAGGGAAGTGTCTGTCACAGAGTTCCTGCCTGTGGGGAGTTGCTCCCTGAACCCCGTGTCCCTGAGTCCATCTGATGAGGTAGCCCCTCCATCGCTCCTACATGGGGCCAGGGAACGAGGGAGGGTGGGGTGGCCCAGTGTGAGGGGCCATCCTGGGCATGCATGCATGCGTGGGGCGCGTGTGCGCACACGGGGGACCCTGCACAGGGCTGAGGCTCCATGCTCGGCAGCCTCGGCGAGGCTGTGCCTGGCTCGCTTGCTGCCTGCGTGTGGGTGAGTCTGAGAGGCGAGCACCTGTGACTTGGGTGGAGGGCTGACGGTGGCTGGCACTGGCCAGGCCCCTGGGACCTGGCGGGCCGTGGGTCTTGGCCCGGCCGTGTGTGGGGGCGCGTCCCTGGCCTCGCTGCACTCACAGCCTTTGTAGATGTCCGTGGGGATCTGCACCGCTGTGTACGAGTAGTTGACCTTGTTCTTGAAGTTGGCGTCCTCAACGAAGTCCAGCTTCAGGGTGCTGACCTTGGCCCCCCTTTCCACATCCTCAATCTCAGGGTCGTCCTGCCAGAAGGGACCCCCCGCCCCCGCAGTGTCAGGGCTGGCAATGGGGAGGGGCGTCAGAGAGGCTGCAGGCAGGGGAGGGCCAGGGGCCAGGGGGTGGGGACGTCTCAGAATCAGACGATTGCAGACAGAGACAGAGAGAGATGCAGAGACACGGGGTGTGGTCCCCTCACTCGGGCGGCCTGTGACTCTCACCTGCTCACCCCACTCATATCTCCCCCCAGATTCTGAAACCAAAACCAAACCGACCCTTCTCCACATCCTTGAAGACCAATCATCAAGTCACCAGCAAAGGAGGCAAACCTGGACGGCAGTGAGGAGCGCGCGCTGCGGACCTCTGCCCTGGGGACGCGCCTCGTGCAACCCCTGGGGAGGCCTTGGTGCCCTTCCCAGAGCTCTGTGACCCCCACCGGGGCCCTGCCCACCCCTGGCGCCACCTGGGGGGACACCCCTGCAGCGGGGTGACTAGGTCTGAGCTGGGGCAGCCCTGAGGGAGGGCCGCGGCGGAGGCTAGCACGGAGACCCAGCCTGCTGGCAGCGGGCCGGCAGGGCCCCCGTTGACTTTCTAAAAGGAGCTGCAGCTCTGACAGGTGCCAATTACTACGTCTCTGGCCGGGCAGGCTGGGCATGCGCCGTGCGCCCCCGCCCACCGCCGCAGGCTGGCAGGAGCGGGTCTGAGCGACAGTGTTGACTGCAGCCGAGGGGGGCGGGCAGGCACGGGCGCAGGTGTGCGAGGGGGAAGGGAGGATGGTGGGGAGAGAGAAGGGGAGACAGGAAAAAGGCGGCAGGGCAGAGTTGGGGGGCTTTGTGCCCCGGGAGGAAGCTGTGTAAGTGGCTGAACCGGCCACATGCTCCCCACGGCCCCGCCAGGCCTGGGACCAGCTGGGCAGGGGCCAGGTCATCTCCACCTGCGGGTGGTCAGGGCAGCGGCTCAGGGCACCTCCGCTCCTGCCTCTGCGGGTCGCACAGGCTGCCCTGTCTGGGGAAAGGGGGCCGTGCCCTCCTGGAGGGCCTGCAGCAACCCCCCTTTTTATCTCTTTAGGGGTCGGGTTTTGTACTGCACGACCCAAGCTCTGTGCGCCACCCCCCCAGCTCTGCATACCCCAGGACCCTCCACAGGCCCCAGGCGCCGGGAAAGCGGGGAGCAGCCGCCTCAGAGGCGCGAGCCACTCACATTCTGCAAGGGGGGGGCTCGGGAGAAGAAAGCCCCCGAAATGTCAGCGCAGATGAAGGGCGCTGGGAAATGTAATCTCCCAACTTCCCGACCACTGTGACATTTGGATTCCGTGCTGATAAGCTATCAGCTGGCGAACTTTTTCCTTCCTTCTCTCCCCCTCCCCCACCTTCTGGCTGGTAATTTAAAAGTAAATGGTCTAGAAAGATCTCTAACTGTACCTCTGGCAAAGATGAAAAAAACACACACACAAAACAACACGAGCCGGGGAGCGGCAAATGTGTGTGCGCGGAATTCATAGCAGGGCGCGCTGGGCAGCTCCCCGGCTCCCGCCCTCAGCCCCGCCCCGCCCCGCCGGGGGGCCTCCCTCCTTGGGCCACATCCAGCCCCCCAGCAAGTGTGCAAAGGGCTGGGGGCAGGGCTCAGTGGGTTAGAGCCAGGGCTGGGGGTCCTGGAGACACTGGGGCCGGGAGCAGGGCGAGCAGGGGGTCCTGGCAGGGAGCGGGCTCCGCCCTGGCCAAGGGGCGCCTCGGTGCCCCCCACGGCCCGTGGCTTGTGCGGCAGGCAACGGCCGTCTCCCGGACTACGTCTAATGCACTGATTGCTAAAATCACAGCCCGCTGCCGGGGGGGTTTGCAGCTAGATCCAGGGTCTAATTAAAGGTTCGCTCTTCATTTGAATTTCAGATTCCAGCTTTAATTTTAGCAGCTTCTCTGGGCGCCACGGAGGCTCAGCCAAGGGGGAAGCACACCTGCTTTAGCCCGACCCCCCTCTTCCGCCCCCCTGCCCGCCGCCTGCCTGTCCTGAAGGCTCCCCCAGGCCAGCCTGGCACCAGGGACCCCCTGCAGCGCCCCCTTTCTGCCTCTCACCTCTGGGTGTCACTGGACACCTCCTGCCCCCGGAAGGACACCCCTCAGGCCAACAGGCCTGGGAGAGGAAGCCAGGATTCGGGGTCTCCTGCCCTAGCCCGCACAGGGGGGACCCAGGGACTGAGCTGCTGTGAACCTATTTCCAGAGGGGACGGTTCTCTTAGGGGCACGCGATGGACCCGGCCGTGACAGTCGACCAAACACTGTCTCTTCCATGTGCTCTGCCCTCAGCACTCTCTTTTTTCAGTCCTCACCTGAAGGTATTTCCCCGTTGATTTTAGAGAGAGTGGGAGGGAGGGGGAGAGTCAGAGATAGAGAGAGAAACATTGATGTGAGAGAGACCCACTGTGTGGCTGCCTCTCCCACACTCCCCGACTGGGACCAGGGATCGAGCCTGCAACTGAGGTACAAGGCATGTGCCTTTGACCGGAATCGAACCCGGGACCCATCAGTCCGCAGGCTGACGCTCTATCCACTGAGCCAAACTGGCTAGGGCCCTCCTTAACACTCCTGTCTCCTTTGTAGGCCCCTCCCACCCAAAGGTGCCCGTCATCTGAAGGGCAGGCACAGGACATGGGCTGCCTCTGCAGTTGGGGTGTGGACTGAGCTCCAGGCCAAGCACTGCTCACGGGGCCAGGCTGGGGGGTGCCCCGCCCACTGAGCTGCTGTTCCCTCACGGCAGGGAAGGGGTGCACTGACCCGAATGCACCTGGGTGGCCCAGCCTCCTGCTTCTCAGCCTCGCCCGCCTCCTCCGGAAGCCCTCCCTGAATGCACTCCATGCCCCTCAGTTCTGGCACCTGAGCTGACCAGGGGAGGACCCCACGTGCGGGGTCCCAGCCCACCACACACTGCAGGAAGCTGTGCCTGAAGGGCCACAGAGACACAGCCCTGGGGGGGTCTGGCCTCCAGAGGTTTGTTGGGGAAGGTGCAGGGTGGGGGCTGAGCCTCCACACCCCTCGGGCTCGAGCTCAGAATCCCAGGGTGCTGAGTCCCACCCTCATTCCCAGCAGAGGCCACTGGCCCAGAGAGGCGTGTGGCTCCGCCCCTCCCCAGCAGAGGGCACACTTACCAGCTCAGCGTCAGCCTTGGCGTCGTAGTACACGATGTCTTCCTCCTGGTGGGGGGGGGGGGGGGAGAGGCCTCAACAACACGGCTCGAGGCCTCCCGAAGTGCAGCCCAGACCCCCGCCCCAAGGCTGGAACGACCCCCCAGATTCCTGCACCCAGAACGGCCATCCAGGGGGGGGAGGGACTCAGGCTGGCAATGCCCCTCCCCCAGGAGACTGGGGACGGTCCTCAGATCTGACGCCAGGGCCAGGTCGCTGCCCGCTGCCCCCCTGGGGGATGGAGCCAGAGCTCCACCAGGAGGAGCGAGGAAGACGGAGCCCAGCTGAGCCCGGGCTGAAGGAAAAGAATGGTTCCACCCGCATCTCCCAATTCTTCTATTAAAAAGCCTGCTCATTACGGGCCTGTGCTTATTAATTATCTGTGATTTGTTGTGAAACGCAGGGAGGTTTACACAACAGGCAAGGAGGAAACACAGCCCGCCCGCCCGCCCGGCTTCTTGGCCATCTGCACGTCACAATCACCGGCCACCCGGGAGGCCGTGACACAAACGGGCTAATTTCATGTCTAATGATCTCTAATCAGAACCGAGTGTGGCTGGGAGAGGCCGCCAGGAGGTGAATCTGGTGCCATCAAGTGCCACCCGTGCAGGAGGGCCACCCTCCCCCGCCCGGATGGGCAGCAGGGCCAGCACCTGGGAGAGGCCAGTGTCCGAGCCACCTCCCCCGTGCTCCTCAGCCCTGCGGTCCCTCGGTCGCCGGGAGCCTGTTTCTGTGTGATCTGAAAGTGGGGGTGATGACCCAGTGTACCCCAAGGGTGTGGCTGTAACACAGCAAGCACAGCACCAGCACTTGCTCCGCGGTGGCCGCCCCTGACCCGGGCCTGGCTGGGCCCAGGTGCTGTGTGACCTCAGGGCTGCACTGCTCCCTCTCTGAGCTCAGGCTCCTCATGCTCCCGGGAGGGGCTTGGCCTTGATGACTGCCCAGGTGCTGGTCTGAGGCCACGGTTGGAGGGAAGAGTCGTGAGGTGTTTCCCACTGGTCTGGGGGTGCAGGGGACTGGCTGGACCCGCAGGCACAGTGCAGGCGCCTGGGACACTGACTACCCGCCCGGCATCTCGGGCGGGACCGCAGCCTCTGATGCATGGAGGACCGGGCCACCCGATGGCTGCGAGCGGTCTGAGGCGTCTGCTCTGCCTAGCGCTTGGCACACGTTGAATCACGGGTCCTCCCAACGGCCCTGGGACCCGGCCATGCACATGAGGATTCGAACCCGGTTCAACCCACCTTCCCGAACATCTCCACCCCCCCCAACCCCCCCCCGCCCCGCGCCCACCCACCAGCTCCAGGATGCCGCCTGCCCCGCCGGCGCCGACCCTGAGCGCGTAATGAAAGCTGACATTACATCAAACACAATAAGGGGTTTCGGTTGATGAAGATCATTCCTGAACACAAACCCATTAAACCGAGGGGAGAAATATCAATTCAACACACTTGCGGCGAGAAGAAAATGTGATTTGTTATCTAAAGGGGGGTACACACGGCTCTGCGCTCCTTCCTTCAGAGTGAACACAGGCCGCAGGCGGGAGGATGTCGGTGAGCGGGGGCTTCACCCGCCCGCTTCGGGGGAACCTTCCGCGGGGACGGGAAAGGGCGGCTGGGCCGTTGCTCTCAGGCCCCCAGGATCCCAGGCTCCCTCACAGGCCGGGTGGGTCCTGCCGGCCCCTCTGCCCCCGGAGCCCCCGGGCATTTACGTGGCCACCCCTCCAGCTGGCCAATGGCTCCCTTTTCTCTTTGTCTTGACTCCTGGTTGCAGCAGAGGATCACATGTTGGTGGACCAGGGACCCGGGGAATGTGTCACAGGAGGACCCCAGCCCCGGCAGGCCCTGTGGGCAGGGCCCTGTGCGTGTGCGGGACTCCTCCCCAGCTCTCCCCCCCGTGGAGGCCAGCCCATGCCCTTCCCTGGTGGAGGGTGGTGGCGGGCAAGGCCACACGTGTGCAAATACACGGGCAACACAGCTGTGCCTGCTGTGACGTGGCACTGGGGGTGTGGCAGGGTGGGGCCGTCGGGTCCCTGGAAAGGCCATGTCCGCTGTGGCCTGTACAACACCGTGTCCACCATTAGTGCCCACCTCTGGGAGAGATGGAGGCAGCCCTTCCCAGTGATGGCACACAGGGTCCTGGCCTTGAACTTGACCTGCACATGTGAGTTCTGAGATCCTGGGCGGTGAGTGCAGACCCCAGGGACCCCAGGAGGACTCCCCGGTGTCACCCCAGTTCACTGTTAAATCCTGTAGCCTCAGTGAGGCCTAACCTGGGGGTCAGGGTTCCCACTTTTAATCAGGGTGATGCCCCCTCCTCTGAGGCTGCTTAGGGGTCAGGGAGCTGGGCCGCCCCAGGGGAAGGGCCAACCCTACCCACAGGGCCCCCCCTTATGTTTGCAACCTCACAGCCCTGGGAGGGGCCTGAATGTGCTAGAAACCCTCTGGTTGGGGTAAAAGGGGTGTCTTTAAAGTCTGGGGCCCACACTGCTCCCCCTGCCCCCTCTGTTACCTGGCATTCAATGGGCCATTTTGCTCAAACTGGGCAGGGGTGAGGGAACCCTCCCTCTGAACTCACCCCCCATGTGGATTCTGCACACAGTGACACGGGAGGGGGGTTGGCAGGTGGAAACAGGGTGAGGATGTGAGCATGGGGGGCCTGGGGAATGCAGGGTGGTGCCCTGGAGGGCGATGCCATGGCCTGGCCAGACCTGACTGCCGCCCGTCCGCCAGGCCTCTGTGCAGGGCCCGGGCCAGCGACCGGCCTCGCCGTCAGGGCGTGCGGTCTCCCTGTCTGGCTCACCGCCAGCTGGGCGCAGCCACGGGGACTGTTTTCTGGGAAAGCCGTCTGTCGCCGCTCGGCAAGGCGGGCAGCCAGCCTGATGGCGGGGCGGACCTCAGGCCAGGAGGCCACCTGTCCGTCCAGCCGGCGCCCTGAGCCGGGCCTGGCTGCAGAACCGCCTCGCTCATCAGACTCTCCGAGGTCGGCTACCTCCCCCGTCAGACTCCCTGGGGCAGGCCTGCCTCCTCCATGGGATTCCCAGAGCAGGGCTTGTCTCCCACGGGTCCTGGTGTCGGCACTGAGGCCCTGGGGGTGGCCTCCCCCGCCTCCCCCACCCCTACCCTGGCCCAGCTCCTTCCTGCTGGCGGTGTAGACAGCGGGTAATGACGGCGCAGTGAGGTGCTGGCGCCAGGCGCAGTGTCCGCCAGGTGGGCTGCCATCATCTGCCCTGAGTGTTATGGGCACCAGAGCACCTGCTCCCTGGCATCTGCAGGGCCACGGAGGTGCTGCCTGCTCACAGGCCACGGTTTCTCAGGTGTCCACGGGCTGGGACTACAGGCTCCCGCCTGTCTTGGCCAGGGGTGCGCGGTCATGACCTGGGACCAGGCAGCGGCTTCGTGGCCAGACATCTCCCCCTCCCTCTCCTGTCCCAGCTCTGACCCTGGAGACTCCAGGACCCGCGTTCCCAGGCTGGGCTTGGTAGGGTGTATGTGTGTGTGGGTAAGGGGTCACCATTGTCCATTTCCCAGAAGTCTACGTGCAGACCTACTCTGTGCTGTTGATCATGCAGTGGGTTCCAGTTTGGCCCCCGTGGGCCAAGCATCTGTGCCTAGAACTGCCGGGTGCCACCCTCCCCATTTCAGAGATGAGAAGACCGAGTCCCAGCGGCTCCTGGTCACCTGTCCACGGGGCACCCAGCCAGGCACACAGACAGGCTTTCCTAAAGGGCCCGAGTTTGACACGGGTTGTGGCACAGGCCGGTCCCCCTCCTGAGTGCGGGGAGGAACCTGGCCCCTATCTGTCACCTCCTGAAGGTCATTGGGAAGGACATGGTGCCAGGAGCGGGTGGTGTGCCTTCCCCAGCCTCAAGCATCCACCTCTCCTTCGGCCTGGCCAGTCCCCACCTGCAGCTGCGGCCAGTCCCCCTGGCAGCCCCGGCAGAGCTGGCGGTGTGTCGGCTAATGGGCTGCCATCAGCCTGATGAGCGCCTGGCAGCCTGGTCGCCGGGGAGACCAGGACCTGACCCTGCTGTGGAGGAGGGGTGACTCCAGCTCCACCCGAGGCTGGGACACACAGACAGGAAAGCTGACGGACCGGGGAGGGGCACGGTGAGCACCGGGCAACCAGGCTGGGTCCCGCTGGGCCTGTGGCCACACCCGCCGCTGGAGGGGCATCTCAGGCCACACGGGGGGAGTGGACCAGCCAGAGCCCACGCCTGCCTCATCTCAGGACAGGAGCACCCAGGGCCCAGGGGCTGCCGTGCTCATAGCTGCACCCACCCCGACACTGACTTGGCACCTAACGGCTTGACAGGTGGACGCCCCTTTCATGCACCACGTCCGAGCTGACAGGCAGCAGCCGCACCAGCCAGTCCCTTGTCACACGGGGACCCTGAAGCCCAGAGAAGCACGGGGTTGCACAGGGACTGTGACCCGGAGTGCAGGGAGCGGGGCCTCCAGAGGCGCCTGGGGGTGGGCAGGTGCTGGGCTGGGAGGGCGCCGTTCTCACCTTGATGTTGTCCTGCCAGCGGTGGGCTTTCTGGAAGGTCTCTGCGGCATCGGCCAATCTCTGCGGACAGAGCACAGGGAGGTCAGAGCTGAGGAAGCCCTCCCCAGCCCAGGTGAGATGCCCGAGTGGCAGACGCCTCACTTGGGCACCTCTGCCCATCGCCCACCTCCGCCTGCCCAGGCCCACCGCCGCTGTCCCTGTTCTGGCTTCCTGAGCCCCTGCCAGCCGGGCTCGCCACGCCTTCTGTCCAGAGGAGCCTGGCCCGTTGTGTGGGGCTGGCTCCTGCAGCCGCCTCCCTCGAGGCCTCTGTGCCTGTGAGCACAGCCGGATGTCCGCCCATCCGCCCCTTGTTACCCAGCATTCCTGGCACCACCCCATGCGATGTGTGGGGAGACGGCAGCGCCAGCCCTGCCTCTCACGGTCCGGAGGGGCAGACAGACACGTCACTGGGCAGGGCGACCAGGGCAGGAGTAGCTGAGGTGCTCAGCGCTGTGGGAACTTGGGGCATCAGGGAAGGCTTCCCAGGGGAGGTGCTCAGACCCTGAGGTTCTGCTGTTGCACCCCCATGGATCCCGCCCCCCAGGAAGTCTCAGGGCTCCTGAAGGTAGCTCTCCAGGGCCGCCACGGAGCGAAGTGAAGTCCTGCTGACGACTGTCACCGTGAGCCCATCACTGCTGCGTGCCAAGCCTCCCCTAGGTGAGCGACATACATGCACCTGTCACTGTTCACGTGATGGCATGTCCCCTCCTCAGAAGAGGATGCCCAGGCATGAAGACGGTGAGCAGCCTGCCCCAGGTCACAGAGCGGGTCTGGATTGGCTGGGGCCCCAAGCCCGGCCCTCACCACTGCCTTTGCCCTGCCCATGACCAAGGTCAGCAGGCTCCTCCATAGGGCCCACCGTGCCCGTGAGGGACGGGGCAGCTCTGTGGGGAGAGGGGCGCTGGCCCCCCCAGGACCCCGTTCCATCCCATGGGGGGAGCAGCGACGTCCTGCCTCCTGGCCTCCAGCCGACTCAGAGGGCCACGGCCTCTCGGTGCTCAGGACGCACGGCCCAGCCACCAGTCCGGGCGCGTGGGCCCTGGAGGGGAGATGCTATAACGCCTGGCAGCTGCGCACGAGGGGGAACTGGGTCAGGACGTGGCGGCCGGCTGCGCCTCCCTCCCAGCATGGACGGCGTGTGGAGGCATGGCGGGGCTCCTTCGGGGTGCAGCCTGCACTCCCTGGGGCTGTCCAGAGCCACCCCCCTGCTGGGCCTGGCTTCCCCGCCTCCTCAGGCCAAGAGCACTGCATGCTGGGAGGGCTGGGGGGCTGGGGGTCCTGGGGGCAGAGTAGAAAAATCCCTCTTGAAGTCAAACCCTTCCCTTCCCAATGCTGAGCCCCGCCTGGCCTCCACCCACCTCTCCTGCTACCTCACCTGTCTGTTTGTAGGTTCCGTCCTCTGCTCGCCTATTACTGCAGTGCCTGCCTGGGTGGGCCCTGCCTGGATGGGCCCTGCCTGGATGGGCTCTGCCTGGGTGGGCCCCCCTCCCCCCTCCCCCCTTTCCCCTCCTCCCCTCCCTCTTATACAGCCTCTCTACTCCCAGGTACCTCCCATGTCTTGCCTCCAATTCTGGCCCCTCCTGAGTTCCTGGACACCCTCCTGGGGTGATGCCCAGGCCCGCGGGAGCTCACACCGTGGCACCTGCATGAGCCCACCTTGGAGCTCTGCCCCCACATACTGCCGCTGAGATCACTCAAACCAGCTGCGCAGAGGGTGTCCCCGCCCAGGCTCTGTGCTCCCTCTGGCCCCTGCGTCCTCTCTTGCCCTTTGACATTTATCTCCTCGTGGCACCTGGAGCCTTTAAAACGCGGATCTGAGCGTGTGGCCGCCCCCACCCCTAAATCCTCAGCAGCCCCCAATAGCTCTGCATATAAAAGGCAAGGCTTTCGCCCTGGCTGGTGTGGCTCGATGGTTAGCGTGTCGTTCTGTGCACCGAAAGTTCTCAGATTTGATCCCGGGCCAGGGCATGTATGGGAGGCAACGGATGGATGTTTCTCTCTCACAGCAATGTTTCCCTTTCTCTCTCTCCTCCCCCTTCCTCTCTCTCTAGAATCAATGAGAAAAAAAAGAGACAAAGCTCCCTTGAGGCCCCAGCTCCTGCCCCTCCCTCTCCATCCCGGGGCCTCCTTTCCTCCCGAACCGCACCCCCAGGACAGGCGAGGCCCCTCATGCGCAAGCCTGCGGTGCCCTTCTGCAGAGGACACTGCTGTGTGACGCGTGACATGCATGTTAACAACACTTGTCACGTGACTGTTAACTGAGCAGCTATTACACAGCTCAGCACCTGGCCTGGAGGGAGGGGTGAAGCGTAAGGAGGGAGGGCGCCTTGAGCAACTGCTGCCCCCCCTTCCTGACCCTCCCAGGGGGCTCAGCTCTGTGCTCGGATTTGCAGGCCAGGACATGAGGCTGCAGCCCCTCTGGCTCCCTAGCCCAGGGAGGGGAGCCCCAGGGAGGGGGTCCCAGCACCCAGCCTCCCTGGATTCTCGGAGTCCCTCAGGCTCAAAGGCTGGGGTCAGCCGCTGACTCGTGAATAACAGTTGCAATAGCCACAGTGAAAGGATTACTTTTAATCCTCAGTAACGATCAAGCCATTATTATTTTCTCGGTGTTACAGATCAATCAGTCCATCCCCGGGCGCCGCACGCGGGGAAACTGCTAAGCACACAGGCCTGGTGGTGCGGGGGAAGGGCTGGGCATCGGAATGGCGCTGGGGTGGGCAGTGTGGTGCCTGTGTCCGGTCAGGCGTGAGGGTGAGACGTGGGCGGAGGGCTGGGACCGCCCATGGGCAGGCCTGAGGAGCCCTGGGTGGAGGTCAGAGCCTGGAGCCGGGGGCCTTGGAGCACCGGCCTGGGTTCGAATCCTGCCTGACTTGCATGAGTGGCTTCCTGCCCGCAGTGTCTGTGTGTAAACTGGACCCACTCAAAGCGGGTCGGTTCTTGGCAGCCCCCTGTGCCAATCCCCAGGGGCTGCCCGCAGGGAGTGCCCAGTTAACCCCATGATGGCGGAAGACGGTGCCTCTTCCTCGCCCTCCCCACCCCACCTCTGGCAAGACCCCTAAGGGGTGGGTTCCTCTGTGCCCCCCCTTTGCCAGGTGAGGTGCCACGGCCCGGCCCTGGTGAGGAAGTGGAGGCAGCAGACGCAGGTGGACCAGCGTGTGGGACAGCGAACGTCCAGGGCAGCACCAGGCCTGGCAGGAGGGGCCTGGCCACAGGACCCCCACCTGCCCCCAGATGGTTCCTTTGCTGTCCCCCAACCTTGGTGTCACTGGGCCCAGACCCTGGGTGGGGGTAGGCACTAGGGTGCCCAGCAGTCTCTGCCCTGCTCCAAAGTGCCGCCGCACCACCCTGCTTCCCTCCTGCCCGCGGGCCCTGTGTTGGCTCTGTATTGTGCACTGATAGATACTAAATACAGATTTCCAATTTCCAGAGCTGTTATGGTCTAATGAGTAAATAATATACATATTTAAAACTGTCTAAAAACATATCTGCATAATTAAAAATCTGCATAATAATGAAGCAAGATGCAGCTTAGCAAGGAGGGAGCCAGAGCCCCAGGGCTGACAATAGGGGCAGGCGAGCAGGCGGGTGGGGGTCCCGGCCCTGCGGGCTCTCCTCCCTGCGGCCTTGGCCCGAGGGGGCATCTGTCCCTCTGTCCCGCCTGCTCCAAGCAGGTCCATCCACAGTCAGGGACAGGGGACCTCACTCGGCCCTGTCCTTGCACAGCCGGGTGGTGCCCGGCACAGGGCCTGCTACCTGAGTGGTGGCGACCTTGGCCGCTACCATCCGTGGCATTCGACGTGCTCAGAGCTTTGTGGGGACAGCCTCACTCCCCATGGCCCGAGGGCAGCTCCTGTCCCGATCTCCCATTGTGCTGGGCCCCGAGGGGTGGGGAGAAGGGCACCGGCAGGGCCGAGTACTGCCAGGACCCATGACTTGCGCATGGCAGGAGATGGAGATGCCAGTGGCTTTGTCTTCCTGTCAAGTGCGCCACCAACACCAGAGCCTCCTGGGCATAACCGGCACCCGGCCTGGCCCTCCTGCCCTCTGAGGTCCCTTCTATAGATATGATTTCAGAGAGGAAGGGAGAGGGAGAGAGACATTAATGATGTGAGAGAATCATGGATCGGCTGCCTCCTGCACGCACCCCACTGGGGATCCAGCCCACAACCCAGGCGTGTGCCCTGACCGGGAATGGAACCGTGACCTCCTGGTTCATAGGTCGACGCTCAACCCCTGAGCCACGCTGGCCGGGCAGCGAGCTCTTCTTTACACCCGGGTGGCTCCTACGGCAGTTCGGTCCCACTGCCCTGAGCTGGGGCTGCTGGAGCCGCCGTGGTGAGAGCTGCCCGGGAGGACACGCGCTGCGAGGAGCCCCTCCGCCAGGAGACGAATGTCCACGGGAAGCAGAGCCGAGCCCCCATCTGCGAGGACGGCGGAGCCCCTCCAGCCGCCATGCCCCTTCCCGTTATGTTATTTTTATACTTTTCCCTAAAACACTGCCTGAGCGGGTCCTTCTCGACTCTATTAACATTAGGAACCTAATCAGTAATCAGGCAGCTCATAATTTTCTGATTAGCTCTGATTAGGCCCAACCTCGCGGGGGAGAGGGAGTGGGACACTGCGATGTGCGCGATGGGGGACTGGCCCGCTGGGGCGGAGGGCAGAAGGAAAGAGCCCCCGGCCCCACTGTCTTCTGTCCTGGGGGGGGGCGGGGAGCGGGGTCTTTCTGTGGTTACACTGGGTGAAGGGGTGCAGGGGTCAGGGAGCACTGGCAGCAGGGACCCAGGGCAGGTTGGGCCCAGGCTTTCAGCACCATGGACAGAGCAGGAGGCTTGGTCTGGGCATCCACCTGGGTTGTGCACTGCCCAGGCCTTTCGTGGTCCCACTGCAGGCAGGGCTCCAGGGGAAGCCTTGGGTGATGGTGACAGTGGCCGGGCTGGCCTGCTCAGGGGATGCAACGTGTGACCCTGACATGGAGCACTGGCCCCGGCCACTTACTGACTGCACCGCCGGCAGGGCCT